ATAGAAATCATACTAGGTTATAAAAGAAATTAAGTAAGACCTATATCAGAAGGGTATCAGAAGAATGTTCATGTATCAGAAGATTCAATAGTTAAGGCAGCGAGAAAGCAAATAAAATTAAAGGACTTTTGTGTTAATACAAAGACAAAACTCAATTTAAAAATAGGCAAAAGATTTTAACATATATTCACTAAAGATATACCAACTTCGAATAAGCACATGAAAAGATGTTCACCATCATTAGCCATTAAGGAAATGTAAATTAGGACTATAACGAGATACCACTATACACTTACCAGAATGACTAAAATGAAGGCTGACAATATTATTAAATGTTGGTGAGGATTCAGAGAAACTAGAACCCTAAGACAGAGCTTTGAAAAATATTTTAGCAGTTTCTTATAAGATCATACTTTTATGATGCTGTCTACAGAAACAAAAACATTATGTCCATAAAAGACTTGTATTATAATGTTTAGAACAACTTTATTCATAATAGGCAAAATGTGGAAATAACATCACGGGCATAACCTGGTGAACAGATAATTTCTGATATTCTAAACAACAGAACGCTACTCATCAATAAAAATGGTGCAACTACACATATATAAAATATGGGCGAATCTTAAAAGCATTATGTTAAGTGCAAAAAGCCAGACACAAAAGACTGGAAGCTTTGTGTATATAATTTCATTTTTATGAACTTCTAGGAAAGGCAAAACTGGAGACTGGTGGTTGCCAGAGAGTTTGGGAGGAGGTTTACTGCAAACGGTTATAAGAGTAATTTTTATGGCATATCGTAACTGTGGTGGTGGTTACATGACTATAAACGTGTCAAAACTCATCAAACCGTACAACTAGAGCTGTTGAATTTTACTCTATGTAAATTATATCTCAAACTGATTACAAAAAAAGAAGTGATGGATTCACATGTTATTATATCTCACAATTACAAAAAGAACCTTAAAACATGCATTCTAAAGTTTTAAACTCAAGCATTTACTAAACAATACACAAAATTAACACCAATTAAGATTTGAGGCAGGTTACAGGAGGAAATATACAATGGGGATTGTTTTCATCACTTACTAATTCATCTTCAAACTCAATAAAACCTGAGACTAGGCAGAACCTATCCAAATCTATAACAGAAAGAATCAAATAACAAAGCACTACATGTTTAGACAAGTCACAATGATGTTAGCTATAAAATGTATTCTCTCGATGTGGTTCATAATGCATTACAGTGAATTTTTAATTATTTGAAAACTTATTTTTTCAAATTATTACTTTCTAAAACATATACTCTTGGTAATAAAGTTATATAGTTTTCAGCAACACAGGTTGCAGTAAATTACTCACAGACACTGAAGAAAGATGTAAGGCAAGAATCAAAATTCTGGTGTATGTTCTGCTTTCAGATGCTTTGACAATACTATTGCACTGCTAGCTGTAAAGTACAGTAGTGCAATAAAGTCAGAGCATTCGTTAGCAGTAATAGGTAGGAAGGACATAAAAGCATCTTGCATCAGTTGAAGCTTCAGTGTGAGAAGAGTACAAAGAAGGGTTGCCACTTTGGACAGAAGACATCCAAAACCTAAGAACATTTATATCAATGTTAAAAAAAAAAAAAGACTAAGATTTAAATATCAAAGTGGTATTTTTTTATGACTAACCTATGATTAATACTCAAACTGAAACATGCACAGATATAGAAAGGGATTTTGTAAATAAGTCATAAGCTATATAAGTTATTAACATGGGTGTTGTTAATACCTTAGAACCGGTATTACCAGAACAGCTTATAATTATCACTAAGGCAAAGTTGTGAAAATATTTCTGCTCTGCTGAGAGGTGTTTGTTAGTGCCCCCATAGCAAATGACTGATGAACTGCCACACAAAACAATAAGATTACCAAAGAAAACAAATGAAAAGTAAAATAAGTTTCCCAATTTCCATAAACCCAACCTATCTCTCTGGAATCTAAACTACAATACAAAAAGGATTTACCTATCTCAAGAGTTTACAGACTTTCAGGAAATCAATATGTCATAAACAGGATACTATTAGCACTAATTAACTGAATGCTATGAAAGGGGATTTTAAAATTTCAGTTAACCCCTGAAACATCTTAAATATAAGATTTCCTTCAAGCTGAGAAAAATCAAAGAGAAAATAATAATGGGAGGAGAAGACTCTTGAGATTTAAGAATCAGATTTCCTTGGATTCAAGCCAATTAACATCCTAACCTTTTAAATGGTAAGAATAGGATAATATCATAGTATTATACTACCTTTTGTGCATAATCACTACCTTAGCACAAAAGAAGGACACTAGACAAATAACACTAAAGCAAAAAGTGAAGTGAAGAGAAAAAAGTTAGAGAACAAAGATTACCCTACAATGAGCTTATTCCTCCATTAATAATGAGGATTGATGCAAAAACACTTTCCATTATTTTTACCAACCTTCCCTTAAGTGATCCAGGTCAGCTACTTGGTTGCATTGAGCCTAAGAAATGAACATAAATTCAGGACAGCTGGAACATGAGTGTCTTGACCTCAAATCCTAGGTCACATATCTCAGATATTAGAGTATTTCAACTCTGCTATCCAAGAGTCAGGCTTTTAAAACAGATATTTAAAAACAAATGTTTAATTTTCTGAATCAGGAGTTAAAACCCCTGGGGGAAAAAAAAAAGATGAGGATATTTGTCTAAAAAATTAAGTACTTCTTTTTCAAAGTTAGATAATATGTATTCTATTTCATTTATTAAACAGTCAACATTGATTCCTCAACAAATCCATTATAAAACCAAAAATCAGAAATCACACAGGAAATCATTTACCTTTGGAATCTTAGAAAATAAACCATTCACAGATAAAACATTTTTTTCTAAAAGCACATGGCAAATCTAAAGATTAGCTATCCTATTTTATACTACCCAATCAATACAAAGCAATAATAATACAACTATAATAGTTCAAATACAATTTTTAAACAATTTTGTTTCCGTGATTATGGAAACAAAGAATTTGAACAGCAAAAAAGTTATGACTCAGTTAAAAGGAATTCAAGAAGACTTGCTTTCTTCTCTCTCAGAAAAAGAACTTTTAAAAACTACCTCATCAAAAAATAAATAAATAAATAAAATAAAAACTACCTCATCATTCAATCATCTAAAAGTTTAAATTAAGAGTCTGGTTACCTTAAAAAAAAAAAAGTCTGGTTACCTCAGTTTTCTAAAACCTATTTTTTTCCCAAGATGTACACGTCATTGTTTTCCCCTTAAAATAAAATGTGTTAAATCTAAACCATATCCTGTGAGACTGTTGACTCTAATGCAAAGTCAGAAAAGACTTCATTGGTACCTCAAAATTAAAAGCCAACTTGAAGGGGAAAAAAAGTGTTAAAAGTACAATTAGTATCACTTATAGCACCTTACAATTAGGCAGAAATATCCATCTGGAGGTAGGAATTCATAATGGAGGGGAAAACTAGGATTTTTTTAAAAGACCGTTAACAATAAGAATAACAAACTTTTAACTAAAAGTTCATTTATTACAGATTTGGAAAGCTGTATTAAATTCTACCTTCTTTGCTGCCAGTTCTCGCCTTCCCAATTTCCACACACACCCCACAAAAAAAATCAAAATTGAAAACGTTAGAAGCAAATGAAAGCAAATGAAAGCCGGTTTTGTATAATATATTAATTAGAGGCACTTTAATTCATTAATACATAAGAAGAAAACGATAATAAGATCTATCAAGGTCTCGCATTTTCTGGAGGTGGGATTGGGGTGAGGATCGTACAGTTTTTCTTCAAAGACCACTACACGCTGCAGATATTAAGGAGACCCAAGGTTGAGCTCGGGGAGGGTAGCACAGATACAAACGATACTTTAGGAGTAACGCCAGGGAATGGCAGGGAGACGAGGAGCGGACTGTGGTGGAGATTTTGGCTTTTTTACTTAAACCTTGTTATTTTTAACAACAACAACAAAAAAACGAACAGGAGATCAATCAATGATGGGTGCGTCCTCCAAATTCCACATTTTAAAGGAAACCAGCCCAATCCGAACACTCGTAATGCAGTGGGGGGTGGGGGGTAGACAGAACAAGGGAACTAAGGAAAAAGCGCGGGCGATCAAGCCACTAGTCAACGAACGGGAGGGAGAGAATAAAGAGGACAAGTGAGGGGAGGATCCAAAAGAAAAAACTAGGACAAGCCCTCCAGTTTGGCGCCCTCGAGCAAGCCTAGCAGCGGCGGGAGTCCTTTCCAGTTATCCGCCCCCGCCCCCTACGTTCAATGAATGAAGCTAGGCAACTCCAGAGCACCGGTGTAATCCACATCCCAAGCCCGCCCGCGTTCCTGCAAAGGAGCTCGTGGTTCAGATTCCCAAGGCTCACACTTTTCCCCCACCGAAGGGCCCAACTGGTCTAGGAGCTTCTTCAGCCGCCAAGAAGTTGTGCACGCAACTAGAGAGCATCCTTTCTCAGACTTGTTCAGCCTGCTCCGGGCTGAACGTGAACGCTTCAGCCCTAAAGGGATTTCTCTCCGCCCCTCTCGGTGTATTTCCCACCCCACCCTCTATCCCCGTTTTCTCGGAGGGTGAACGACCTCTCCCCTTCTAGGGGCCTTTAGAGATCATTTCTGTCAGGTCTTTTCGGTGGAAATACACAGAACGCTGTCTGCATAAACCACAGCTCCTTGAGGGGCGCAAAGCTGAGGGCAAGGAACAAGGAATTCCAAAGGCCCCGCACCCTCAGCATCTCCCGCCATTTCCCTCACGAGTTTCCCGGATGTAACCCCTTCCCTCGCGGCGGTTAAAAAGAGACCAGGCGGCGGCGACTCCCTTTGGTGCAGGAGGAGGGAGCTCGAGCCTTAGTCCAGCCTCCTCCGCCCAGGGTTTCCGGCGACTACAAATCGCGTCCCAACTTGGAGGCCATCGGGGAAAAAATAAACGACCCAGTAGATCTCCTTCGCTTCACACTCACCATCAGTTCCAGCTTATCGACCTCCGCCTCCATGTTGAATAGTTGACATTCCTCAGACCGCGGCGGCGCTTAAGCCGCAAACCGTACCAGCACTGAGGGTCCCTATTGGACAGCTGTCATTCAACGTCTCGTTCTCATTGGTCCCGCCGCTTCACCGGCGCCCGCCCATTGGAGGCTGGGAAACGCCCCTCCTCATGAAACATCTTTTCCTGTTGGGCAAGGACACAAAACGCCGCAGGAGGATTGGCTCCTGCACCTTTTTCTTTCCCATTGGCTGCGGCCGTATCTCGGCATTTAATTTCACAGCGAGGGTTCTGCAGAGGGGAGCTTGCGATTGGTGCAGTCGGAAGAAGAGCCAACCAATTACGCAAAAGCTTCCACAAGCAGCAAAGGGGACGTGACACGCCTTTCCTCTCTGACTTCCCCTCCACTTCACTCCCGCCTTCCCCTTATTCATACAAGAAGCGCCTCATTCCTGATTGGTCCGAGCTTCGTGCTGCTTCAGCCAATCACAAGCCAAACTGTGCTCCCGGCACTACATAGAGAGCGAATTGTGGAAAGACCAAGGCTACGATTGGTCCCTTCGCGATAAGGTTTTAATTTTGAATTTTCCTTTATGGCAAGGGAGAGGCCTCTGACGTGACTCCGTCGTATCCCCGGACTCTTAAGACTAGTAAGTGCGGGGTTATCTTCCTACGTTACCTGGGCTCGCCTCTCCTGCAGCTAGGTCTGTTGCTGCTGGCGTTCGTAACGGTTTGCAAAGGTGAGAACTTTGGCTGGACTCGGAAACAAGATGAATCGGAAAAGAGGGTTAAGGCTGGGTAAGAAGTGCTCCACCTGGCTCGGCTCTTAATCATAGTTATATTTAATTAACGCTCTGCAAAAATATGTTTTGGAGCAAAGTATCCGCCTTCCTTTTGCACATTCCTGTGCTTGTATTTGCTGCTCAGACTGTGGTTCGTGGACCAACTGCATATGCATCACTTGGGTTCTTATTTAAAATGCAGATGATCTGGCTCCACCCAGACCTACTGAATCACAATATACATTTTAACAAGACCCCCGATTCCTATGCACTTTGAGAGAGTACACTTTTTGACAAGGAGTAATACGATGTTCCTCGATATAGTCAATATCGCCCTATGTTCTGTGAGAGTATCGGCTGTTTTATATGTGCCTAGTACTATGCTGGGCTAAATTTTAGGGAGCCGCATCCTCTTTAGAAAAACAAGACTGGAGCTAACAAATAGCAATGCTGCACAACATAAAATGTAAATTTAAATATAAGCAAGTACCAAAAATAGCCCTGTGGATTCTCAAGAGCTATCAATTGGACTGATAATGGAAAGTGATTGACTAAAAGTTGTTTGTGGGAGTGTAAACACATTTTTCCTTTAAAATGTGTTTTAGGAAGATGTTAAAGAAACGCAATTGTCATTTTTAAACCGAACGAAGGGCTTCGGTGTCTGCAGCGCAGAAAGCCAAAGGGCTCCTGTGTCTGCAGCACAGAAAGCCAAACTCTGACTGGGGGAGTTTGCCGCCAAGTAAGGGTTTTATTGTAAGGAGCCAAGCATGGAAGTGGGAGATAAGTCTCAGATTCACTCCAACTTGGTCGCTGAGTTCTGGGTTTTTAAAGGGGAAGAACAAAGGAGCTGAGATTAATCATCTTAATTGTCTGCAGTCTAGGGGTCTTTAATCCAGTGGTCTGTGGGCCCTGGGGTCTGTATCAATACAATCTGTAAAAGTCATTTTACCCTGGAAGATAATTCAGAACTGCAGATGAACAGGGGTGTTTATCTAAAAGTTGTGCCTCGAGGAACCTGGCTTTCATTACTTATTGTTGGGCTAGACCAAAAGAGAAACAAGAAAAAGAACGAAAAAACGGGCATTCGTTTTCATTATAAATTAGACATAGGACTTGATTTCAATTTCCGTTGCTGCCATGCTTTAAAAGTACCCCTAGACCAAAAGCATTTTTTCGTATCACAGGGTGGAGTTTTAGTAGCAGTGCCTGCTCTTGTGGCAGAGAAGGCAATGGCACTCCAGTACTCTTGCCTGGAAAATACCAGAGACAGCGGAGCCTGGAGGGCTGCCGTCTATGGGGTCGCACAGAGTCGGACCCGACTGAGACTTAGCAGCAGCAGCAGCTGCTCTTGTGGAAGAGTGTAATTCTCTCTCTACTACTGATTCCATCTTTGTACTGGAAATACTTTTGGACCCATCCTTTAACCATATGAAGGTGTGGTATGATTTGAAGAACTAAAAAACCCCTTCACCAAGAGATTTTTCAGAATTGTATTAAAGTATATTCTTAATCAAAATAGAGAACACTTGCTAGATAACACTTAGCAGGAATGAGTTCTTCCATTAATTTATTGAATGAAACATTACTTAATGCCTGCTATCCTTTAAATCCTGAGGAAAGAGGTGAATAAAATTTATCCTACCCTTGAAATATCTCACAGTCCAGTAGGGTGACAAATGTGTAAGCAAAAACTACAATGCTATGTAATAAATGTCACAATAAGGGTGTGTAAAAAGGAATGCTATGGAGGCACAAAAGAGATGATGTAAACATTCAATAAACATTCCATAAGGACAGGCTATGTTGGTCTTCCTCACAATTGTATCCCCTACCTACCATAGTACCTAGTGGATCATGAACAGTCATATATCATGCACCTAGATACACCAACTGTTATTTTTCTGTATGGGGTGTGTGTGTACTATATAAAAATCACATAAATTATATATAAATACATGGTTAGATGGGGCTTCCCAGGTGGCACTAATGGTAAAGAACCTGCCTGCCAATGCAGGAGACATAAAAGAAGCAGGTTTGATCCCTGGGTCAGGAAGATCTCCTGGAGGAGGGCATGGCAACCCACTCCAGTATTCTTGCCTGCAGAATCCCATGGACAGAGAAGCCTGACAGGCTACAGTTCATAGGGTCGAAAAGAGTTGGACACAACTGAAGCGGCTTAACACACATGCACGTGCTTATATATATATATTGTATAGTATACATTATACATGACACATATACCCCTCTAAAGAGAAATAGCTAACCGATAACAATTGGTGAATCTCTGTGAGTGATACGAATGTTAATTATGCTATTCTTATAAATTTTCTCGAGGTTTGAAATTTTTCAAAGTTAAGAGCAGAGGAGGGCTTCCCAGATGGCTCCGTGGTAAAGAATCCAGCTGCCAATGCAGGAGCCGCGGGTTCAGTCTCTAATTGGGAAGAACCCACATGCCAAGGAGCAGCTGAGTCCGTGGGCCGCAACTATTGAGCCTGTGCTCTCGAGCCTGGGCGCGGCAACCACTGAGCATGCGCGCTGCAACCACTGAGCATGCGCGCTGCAACCACTGAAGCCCATGTGCCTAGAACCTGTGCTTTGCAGCAAGAGAAGGCACCGCAGGGAGCAGCCCTCGCGCTCAGCTCAGGAGTAGCCCCCGCTCTCTGTAACTAGAGAAAAGCCTAGGCAGCAGCAAAGACCCAGGACAGGCAAGAACAGAGAGTAGGGGAAAATAGACTATATCAGAAGACAAAAGCAAGGGAAAGCCCAGGGAAAAATAGTGATGTCAACTGAAGACAAAAGACAGAAAGGGGAGTGATGGTAAGGAGAAGGGACAGGATGACTTAGAGAAATATTTCTGATTCGTGTATATGATTACTTTTTTAATATAGTCTATTCTGTAATGCAATATTCTTATTTCCTCACTTTTTTTTTTTATCATGTTGTGGTACAGGTCTTTTTCTTTTTAATTGGCCTTAAATTCTTTTCAAAGCAAAGTAAGTAAAATGGAAGTGTATTTTTCAATTTAAAAAAATAAGAAAAACGCTTTGAGTCATCATGAAAGAATGAGTTTCTATCTAGTGTTAACAGTTGGAATCCCACCTAATCTATTGAAAAGAATTTGTAAGTCTCATTACTCTTTTGGAAAGGGGACAGACAGTACATGTCTCATCTAGATAAAGATTGCTATATACTCTATTAATTGAACAGTTATCCTCTACAGAGTATCTAAAGCTTTTAATAAAGCTAAGGTTGCTTTATCCTTAGCTTGCTGAATCCTCCGTCCTATCTGAGGTGAGCATTCATTATCTTTTAATTTTGGAAGAGCAATGATTATTTTTTAATATAATGTTGATCTAGAAAATATCTCAGACTGCATCTTTCTATCCTGACAGATAAGACATATTCTTTTAATTCTCTACTTGTGTCAATTACTATATTTAATTAGAAGGCTGTTAGATAGTAATAATGACCCAGGGCCCAGGACACACACATACAGAAGAGATAAAATATTGTTTCATTCCTAGATTTTTTTCATTAAAAAATAATTTCCCAAATGATATACATTGGAATATGTAGAATTCTTTAGAAATCTGAATGCATAGGCACTGGAACAACCACCAGGAAATGGCTAGAAAGAGATGACCCACTTTCAGAAAGGTGGTATTTTTCCAGCTAATAGTATATGCCAAAGGTGAACTGGCCAATACTACTTCAAGGCTTATTAGAAATAAACACACAAACAAGAAATGGTAGTCCTCTGAGTCCTCTGTCTATTATCTTGGTTCCCATTTGCCCAAAGGCAACATTATCCACTTTCCTGATTGTTTTTTGGTGTTTACCTCCATGTTTTTAAGTAATATATTTATAATATTCTACTGTTTCTTTTTTTCTCCCAAGGTTAAACTCTGTATAAATTTAGAGAACTACTAATTTCTACTTTCTTCTGTCTTCACAGTACACCTGTGTCATAATTTTTGGCTGTCATTTGTGTCAAGAGTGTTCTGCCTATGTGTTCCTCTAAGAGTTTTATGGTGTCCTGTGTCATAATTTTTAATTAAATAAATACTCAATGTTGATACTATAAAATATTGTGTAACAGCTGATCATCCCATGTTAACTATGATTTCATTTAATTTCTTATACAACTTTTTCCTAGACATTGTTTATATATTTATTTTTTTAAGCACTTCTCAGTAACCTGGACTGAACTTTACAGAAAAATAATAAA